TTTCCATATCTCCTATTTCCCTGAGGATTCCTTCTCCATTGGGAATTGCCTTGGTTCTTATTAACCCAGGGGCGTTTATTCCCATTGGCATTGGATTTTTCAGAGTTATTAGAGGAATTTGTAGAATTGCTTCTGGCGTTTTCCTGTTTCTGAGGTTTTGGTGTTTTCAAAACCTCGGAATAGGTCCTCTTTTTCTGTTGGGTTTCTAAACCTAACTGAGTTTTAGTCTCTGACACCATTTTATCACCAGGTTTCTTAACCTTTGGCTGATTTTCGTCATGTGCATGGTGTATAATATACAATTTCATGCACTGACTGACTAGCCATTCTAATGGTAACTTACAATCGTAATCTCTTGCGAGATTCATTTGTATGTTTACCGGCATGGCATGAAAATACAGATCTTTGAAGTCTGTGCTTTCATACCTGGGTTTTCTTTGGGCCACGGAGTATGCATTTTTAAGAATTATTAAAAATTCTCTGGGGCTTTGATCTGGACGGCACTTTAAGTTATAAAGCGCCTTCTTTGCAGAGGCAATGGTTTTATACTTACCATATTCCATGATTATTTCATATTTCATCTTGGACCAGGACATTAACTGTATAGCTTGAAGACTTTCTAGATAAACACGGCACATTGAATCAAAGGTCCATGTAATGAACCATTTCTTATGAATGTCATCATACATGCCCAATGAATTCATTGCTCTATCATAATTTTCCAGATGTTCAGATATGTTTCCTGAACCTCTAGAAAATTGTGGGACAGTCTCTCTAAGGAATTTGATGACCTTTGGTGTTTCATAAACAGGCGTCGTTGATTTAGGACCTCTGTTTCTGTGTTTGGGTAAACGTCTATGCAATCTGTCTGCTGAAGAGGAATTAGACCCGTACAACAGTGCAGATGGCATATCAGTTACATGGCCTTCAGAGTGGATAGTGCAATCACTTTCACTCCCATCACTCAGAGCTTCTTGTTCACTGTCACAACTCTGATCTGCATCAGAGTTCTGCCAGTGTACAGAACCATGTCTGTTTTCATTCCTATCACCTTGAATCTGATTCCTTCTGTCAAGCTTGGCCAGGACAGTCTTTTCAAACTGTTCTGCCCAAGATTGCCAAGAACCTACAGGTGTTTTCTCAGAATTACTCACCTCTTTTCTTAGAGACTGTTTTATGAAAACCTGGTTTGGTGTGGGAAAATCATAATAAGGAGGGGATTTACAAATAGTCTTTTCTTGCATTTTTGTGCAACTTTTTGGCACAGAATGATGACTACTAACCTCACTGTCTAATTTCTGACTCTCCTTTTCATACTCATCCAATTGCATTTTAAGCTGATTTATTTCCTGTGCATATTTATCCATCAAAGCTTTCATTTCTTTTTCATGATCAGCCTGGCGAGTTTTATGCTCAGCAAGTAAATCTTGGTATTTCCCATTTTGAATGCCCAAATCGTCACTGTACGTGTCCAATTTGGCATTCAATGACTTGTTTTCATCTAACACCTTAAGAAGTGCTGTCATAAAGAAAGGCCAAGAGTGTATTATGAACGCCATTTTCCTTTCTATGTTCTTTTGTTCAGCAATTTCTTTAAGATATATGATGATGTGTTCATCAGTTAGAATGGTGTGTTTAGCTTCCCATTCTATGCTTTTCAACCAAACCTCATAGGTTGCATCATTTTTCATATGTTTATGAATATGAACTAGAGCATGTTTTCTTAGGTCTTCAATTATTTCAGTATTATCTGTTACAGATGTATTACTGGATTCAGCCATATTTCTATACAGTGATTTAATCTCAATACAAAACTCTTTTCTATATCAAGATTAAATTGCATGAATTACACCAATATTATTATTATATATGAAATATGATTTCAACTTAAACGATCTCAGCAGCGTGCCTCCAATATGTGGGGATATTTATGGGATAATAATAGTAAACAGTTGAGAATTGCCCACTAATTCAATTCTCAGATCCCAAAGAACGTTTATCGTGTTAAGTGGAATGTATACCATATAAATAATATTCACAGTTTTATAAAAATAGATTTTATTTATAAAACAAGTTAATTAATAATAACATGTAACATGCATGACAATAATCAATGAATATCCAGTACAAAATTATATGCAATACAAAGAAATGGGTATTACGTTACAATGGCTAAATAGCATTTCCTGTCAAGAATTATTTATGACTATCTTTAACACAGGCTGAAAGTGAAACTTTTCACAGCGAAGAACAGAATTCTTCAGAGTGCAGCGTAAGGTCGTAAAGTTTAGCAGACAGTTAGAATAACCCTTTCAATGCTGGCTAGATCTCCTAGGTAGTTAAGATCTACTCTTATGTAATTTTAAATAAAATAACATTTAAACCAGTTCATTAGTCATTTCCTGAAAACCATCCAATGAGAGAATCTAATATATTATATAAGCAGATTTTTAATTTGTCTAAAAGATATCTATCTTAATTTAGAGCAAATCAATACACCTGGATAAAAACAGCGGTATGCTAACACGTGATAATATCACATCAATATATAATTATTCTTAATTCCACCTGCAGAATGGAATATTTATAACTATATATTCTTAGTTAACTAAGATTTCTTAATATGGAAATCTGACCGTGCTTTATCCAGTCATATATAATGCTATTAATACATTTTAATTAATTTAATTAATTAAATGAAACCAGTATAATTACCAGTTGAGTAGATATTTGATCCGATTGGTAGTCTCAGGAACTTATTTGGATGTCTCTCTGCATGGAGGTTGGAGTCCCCAAACTTCCAATTCCTCTCTCCTCTCCTTTGCATATGTCCTGCATCTGCCTTCCTCGTCTTTTCTATCTTCCCTTTGTCTTAACTTTTAAAGGGCCAGACTCTCTGTACGTCATCAGTTGATAACCCAATAGAAGCACTAGAGGTGTGGTTATCTTCCAGATCGCAAATTAGTTATTTGGTCTGTAGAGGGCAGTCTTGTCCCACTAAACATACCTATCCAGGAAAGAGTTAACTTTTCCTGGTGGCTATTTTGACGTCATTTTGGCCTATCTAGATAGTGGCTATAACTTACATATCCTTCAAAGATCAAAGGGGTTCTTAAATTTTGTCCACACTATGTGTCTGCAATTCCTGCCATAATCTCTGATATGGCAGATCATGAACTAAGTTTACCCTTTTCCATACAATGGTACCTTATATATATATATATAGACAGTTAAATTTTATTATTTAATCTTCTCTGTCACAATTGTCTGGGTTTAGATTTGATTATATTCTTCTTATCACTTGTTTATACTATGCTATGCCTTCCTTAGCTCTGGCAAAGAGGCCAGTCTTACAGAAAGAAATCTAGTGTCTTCTTTGTTAACCCCTTAAGGACACAACTTCTGGAATAAAAGGGAATCATGACGGAATATTTCCGTCATGTGTCCTTAAGGGGTTAATTTGGAATAACAAAATGGAGTCTGGTCTGTTCAGAGTGACTCAGAATATACACTTTTAGTTTCTATCATAGCACAAAATGTCTGCCGATATAAATACCCTGACAAAACATAAAATGTGACGGCAGATAAGAACCATTCAGCCCATCTAGTCTGCCCAATGTTCTAAATACTTTCATTAATCCCTGGCCTTATCTTATAGTTAGGATAGCCTTATGCCTATCCCACGCATACTTCAACTCCTTTACTGTGTTAACCTCTACCACTTCAGCTGGAAGGCTATTCCATGCATCCACTACCCTCTCAGTAAAATAATACTTCCTGATATTATTTTTAAACCTTTGTCCCTCTAATTTAAGACTATGTCCTCTTGTTGTGGTAGTTTTTCTTCTTTTAAATATAGTCTCCTCCTTTACTGTGTTGATTCCCTTTATGTACTTAAATGTTTCTATCATATCCCCCCTGTCTCGTCTTTCCTCCAAGCTATACATGTTAAGATCGTTTAACCTTTCCTTGTAAGTTTTATCCCGCAATCCATGAACCAGTTTAGTAGCCCTTCTCTGAACTCTCTCTAAAGTATCAATATCCTTCTGAAGGTTCGGTCTCCAGTACTGCGTACAATACTCCAAGTGAGGTTTCACCAGCGTTCTGTACAATGGCGTGAGCACTTCCCTCTTTCTACTGCTAATATATTTCCTTATACAACCAAGCATTCTGCTAGCATTTCCTGCTGCATTTCCTGCTGCTCACCCCTAAATCCCTAAATCCCTAAATCCCATAATCACCCCTAAATCCCTTTCCTCAGATGTTGAGGGTAGGACTCTATCAAATATTCTGTACTCTGCTCTTGGGTTTTTACGTCCAAAATGCATTATCTTGCACTTATCCACATTAAATGTCAGTTGCCACAACTCTGACCATTTTTCTAGTTTACCTAAATCATTTGCCATTTGGCTTATCCCTCCTGGAACATCAACCCTGTTACATATCTTGGTATCATCAGCAAAAAGACATACCTTGCCATCAAGACCTTCTGCAATATCACTAATAAAAATATTAGCTTAGGAAACCGAAGTATGAATCCTCCAGATTCCAAATCTTCAGAGATAAAAACAGGAAGGTCCAAATTCGATAAAAACAAGTTTAATTTATAACCAGAATAATAAAAACAAAAGTATAGTATGAAACACCAATAAAACAAAGATAGATATTTAAATTTGGAAGTGTGAGAAGGAGGTGTGGCTAGGTGTGGCTAGTTCCGAGAACATTTTAGCGACTTAATAATATATCATTCAGCTAAATGTAATTTAATAGCATAATAAAGTACATTGTGCTTTCAAACTAATTTCTAAAGCATGTTTTACGTAGTCTAAGGTCACATAACTGTGAGTATTACTGCTGTGGAGCTCTTTAATACGATCACACAAGCAAACAATATTGAGCTTCTAGAAAAAAGAGGCAGAGAGGTCTAGAACCAAAATATAAACTGACCCTACTAACAGAGGAATTTTGGAGGTATCTGAGTGTGAGGTTAATTTAGATATCTTATTTGAGACAGTAAAATAGAGAATGATTTCCATGATGACTTAGTGTATTGGTAACATAGGTTCAGTGCTATCCTGGATTAACTAAGCATTTATTAATGGTAGTATTCAATGTGGTTTAGCTGAAATTGCCAAAAAAAATGATTATTTTGGAGTTGCTCTGTGAAGGCTTTGTGCTCAGTTCACCCATATTTGATTACCTCTGCTTAATTAGCAAGCAATGTAACTACTATTCCTTTAATCGTTTGTCCAGTATGAGTTATATGAGAATTTAATATTCTATAATGCTGTTTTTAAGACTGATATAGTTACAACCCAAATCAATTAAACAGGTGTGTTGTGTATGATCGAGATTGAATTGCTATGATGTGTGGCTGTGGGAACTGCAATGAGTGGTGCCGGATTTTGCGTGTCTGGTTGTGCAGGGATTGTGCACTCACATACCATGACAAATTGTATTGTCATGGTATGTTGCGTTGCCATAATCTATGTATCAAAGCAGGAAGATGAAAAGGCATGATAATGGTGTAGAAAATTTTAATTTCCTATTGTATAGTTTCTTATGTTGCAAAGATATCATAACAACTTTTATCATTGTGTTGTAGCCCATGGAACAGCGCAGATAAAGGAATGGGCATTGACAGGGCCAGGAAGTAGGCATGGAATCTAAATTTAATTCTGGGTTGTGGGTGAGTAAATGGAATTGGGGGTGGTGCTTAAGGAGGATACATAGAGCGGCCATCTTGGGAAGTGGCCATTTTAACTAAAGCTTTCCAATTAGTTGTTGCTGGAAGGTCTGTGTTGGTTTCCCTTTTGTCTTGCGGATGGATCCGTTAGAAGTGCTCCTGGCAGGCGTCCAAGCGGCGGTGAGAGATCTGGGGATGGCCTGACTACAAGAACAGCTCAGAGCCGCAGGGCCATCTTCGGGGCAGATTCAGCGCACCGGCCCACGCGGAGAACGCGGCCGAGTCCGGTTGCTGTGCCTGCTCTACGGCGCCGTCTGAGTCCCTCGGCAGATCGTGATGGGGAGGCTGTCTCGGCTGTGGCAGGACCAGAGAGTGCGGCCTGCACCGTCTGTTCGATGTGGTGCTGGCCAGGGGAGGATGACAGCCCGTCTCTTTGTGTGGAGTGTGCCCCATTGCAATGCGGGCGGTGGGCTCCCACGTGGAAGGGAGTATGGCCGGGTCCAGCGGCATTGTTGGAGGCGCCCATACGTCCTACGGTGAGTCAGGCCCCAGTGGCCCTTATGGCAGTACCGTGGAGGGGCAGGCTGACTTAAGGGGGCAACGGCAACTCCACAAGTGTCTTGGGGGGGCTCAGGCTGCGGAATGACAGTAGGGGCCCATGTTTCGGCTGGGGCCAGGTCTGCTGCGCAGGTGGCTGTGGTAAGGCAAGGCAGTCAGGTTGCTAGCACGCAGGCGGAAGCAGCGGCCGGGGGAGGCCAAACGGCACAGAACAGGCAGTGGGGTCCCCTTCAGGAGATGTGGCCCAGGCTGGGGGCAGGCAATTTAGGGCAGTCGCAAGGGACCAGGATGGCAACTAGAGGGAGTCGTGGTGTGGCTTCCGAGTGGGAGGGTCATAGGGGCTGCTCCCAGGGTTGGCGCAGCAGGTAACGTAGTGGCCCAGGAAGGGAGCACAGTGTGGAGCGGCGGGGTGAGAGCGCCAGGAGCAGCATAGTCAGATGGTGGGAGAAGCCCTTCTGTCAGGCGATGCAGCAAGAGGCATTCATTTTCTGGGGACAGGGATAGGAGAAGTTGGAGCAGCTGGTCTAGGTCGTCCAGCAAGAGTATCCCTTACGGCCAGGCAGATAGGTGCAGTGTTGACAAAGATTTCAGGCGGGAGCGTGGGGAGGAAGGGCGGGTTGGAGTTCATGTGAACAGATTACCCAGGTTTTCTTCTCCTCGCAGCTTGAGAAGTTCTTCTTCCACAGTTCTGAGGTAGGACCAGGCAGCTCCAGGCATCTCTGAGATCCAACGTACTGTCCCCCTGCCATCTCATTTAGTGCTCTGTAAGTGAATTCCAGCTATACGGCATAGATAATACTTGAAAAAAGCTTAGACGTCCGCAGGTGTGACAAAACAGTGTTTGATAGCTGCAACAAGGTTATGCGAGCGAGGTAGCAGCTAAGAGTGTCCGCTTAGAGTCTACAGTCAACCAATTATAATGCAAACTATAGGATAGTGAGATAACCAAAAGAAGAGATTGTGCAGGCCAGCCACTACAAATGGGAAACACTCCCTATATCCCTTCAAAGATTAGTGCAAAATATAACTGTATAGTAACAAAGTCAAGATACAGTGTAGGGTGCTACTATCACAAACAAAGTGGTGGATATAATTACCATCTAAGAGATGAGCATGATGGACTCGCATGGAAAAATAAAGAAAATATCATAGTGCAAAACTTTTATTACAAGAGATATTAAAAAAAACAAATAAAATGGGACACTCACAAATGTCGTGGCACAATTGAAACGAGTCAATATGTTTAAACAGCAATTGGATAAATACTTGCAAAAACAGATATAATTTCTAATTAGTGGGGTAATAGCTTCTTGATCCAAGGAAATACCTGACTGCTATTTTGGGGTAAAGAAGGATTTTCCCCCTAGTTTTTGCAAAATTGCAAGTGCTTCTAACTGTGTTTTTTTGCCTTCTTTTGGATTAATAGCAAAAGTATATGTGAGTAAGGCTGAACTGGATGGATGCAAGTCTCTTTTCAGCTATGTAACTATGTAAAGCCGATCTCGAGCTTTGGAAAAGATGATTTTTTTTATTTGAACTCCTGTTGGACCTAAGATTTCAAATCGATATTTGACATAAATAAATTCAGTGTTGAAAAAGTTGCCCTCTTTATAGTGGGAACAGTTGTAAGCCCTCGGCACCTACTTTCTTAAAAATGTAAACAATTTTGGAAATTATATATACAACACTTTCATGTTTGGTTCTCAGTTCTGCCTTGAGTAGATCCATGTTTTTGACATTCTTATAATTAAAAGAGAATTGGTACTTTTCTTAAAGTGACATGCCCTTGTTCCCTCAGCCCAGTAAATGCTATTGAAAAGCTTAGGAGGGTTAGAAGTGCAGAGGAATTAAAAAATACTCACTTACCTACACTGATGTCCAGGGCAATAAAATCACCCCATGATCCTTCAGGGACACTCAGGTATTTTTAAGGAAATTGAATAAAAGTGTATGAATACTTATGTATTTATTTTATAGTACCATACAAGTGCATGCACCTCTGCGTACAGCACCGTGAGTGTTAATTTGCATGATAGGCTCTAAATTAAAAAATAATCAGATTTCTTTAAAAAAACAAAACAAAAAAAAACTAAATTTAGTTAGCTACTGGGTTATGCACAAATCTCACATGTGATAGTTTAGCTTTAAATCTTTTGAGACACAAATAGCAATTTGAAGGAAAATCAGCAACAATTTACTTACAAGTATTATGCCTTAATAACTGCATCCATTCAGATTTATTCCGATATAAGTTCAGCATCTTAAGATCGGTTTGAAAAATGGATAAATCATGTTTATTTCTCTTACTTTTTAAAAAATGATTTCTGTTTCCAAGGCATTTTAGTTTTTTGATTTTCCTTCGAGATTAGAGGCAGTAATCTAATTGATTCATGGGAGTTTGAAATCTTTCATGATTATAAACAAGAAGAGAAAAAAACGTTTCTTGTGGGGTTAGAGATGAAACAGCTCAAATTTGAGCACAAGAGCTCAGAAAATTTCTTATCTCTGTTTGTGCTGCAGGGTAAGGCAATAAATAGCATATCTGTTTGAGCCCATTTTTGTTAAGTGGTGCTACGCTTTAAAATCCCATTTAGAAAGACAGTTCCTTTAAGCCATTGGTGTATAAGACATTTTCATCTGTAATGCGTAAGGTGCTTTTTTTTTATTTGTGAAGCGCAATCTACTTCTATATATTCTAAAACAATTTAAATAATTAAATTTAAACAATATCTCCTATTTCCCCATTTTTGGATAGGATTGTTTATCTTTTTGATTGCATCATAACAAGCGATAAATCAGAAACGATCATCAGACTCCTTTGTATAGATTTTTTTTATATACAGCTAATAAGTAATTAAAACGGCAATTCATGAGCCATAACTTGCTACGCTCTTTGCAATCTGTTCATTTAGACAGCAGAGACTCAGTACTCACTTTCCATGAATGTGTGTCGCAAAGGGAAGATTTTCTTGCGAATGGACATACGTGTATTTGTAGGGTACATACTATTTATGTTCCCTCACCCATAGCTTTTTAATGAGATTTTCTGTGGTTTTCTAGTTCAATTTATGAAAAACTACCACAAAAAGAGGATGTAGTTTTAAATTAGATGGGCAAAGGTTTAAAAATAATATCAGGAAGTATTACTTTAGTGAGAGGGTAGTGGATGCATGGAATAGCCTTCCAGCTGAAGTGGTAGAGGTTAACACAGTGAGGGAGTTTAAGCATGCGTGGGATAGGCATAAGGCTATCCTAGCTATAAGATAAGGCCAGGGACTAATGAGAGTATTTAGAAAATTGGGCAGACTAGATGGGCCGAATGGTTCTTATCTGCCGTCACATTTTATGTTTCTATGTAATGACACTGCACTCTTTTTGAATGAAGCATCAATTTACTAACTTTATTTATGCTATAAGTATAACAAGTATAACATTTCTGTAATTATTACATTTTCTAAAACTTTATTTGTACGTGGTATATGGTATACAGAGGAATCTGTAAAAGAAAGATAAAACATGCCTTTATCAAAACTTTTAAGACAAACTTCAAAATAGAGTTGCCACCTGGCCGGTGCCGGTATTGCAAACATACCGGCAATACAAATGTCGGTATTTTTCTCTGTGATTTTAGAATACACTGTAATACGGGCCTGTAGGTGGCGCTGTGTGGAGAGAGGCAGGGATAGGAAGTTACATATCCCTGCTTCTACTCCCTAAATCCGTGAGGGAGCAGCTCAGAGTGCACCCAGCAGGTACCAGCATGCAGAGATAACCTACAGATCAGGTAAGTGGGGGTGGATGGAGGGTGGGGTGGGGTGGGGAGGGGAGGGGTACACAAGTAGGACTACATGATCCTTTCAGAAAAAAAAAAAAAACATTCCAGTCCTGTAACATATAAACTTTACAGTCCTTATGATCTAGGACTTGGACTGGATTTTTCATGAAAACTAGCTGGGACTCATCATCTCTTTTCTCTGTTAAATGAACTAACATTATCTTTTAGGGAATGATGAGAGGAGAAACATGTTTCTAATATGACACACTCAAAGACAAATGTCCTGATTTTAAACCTGCAGTTTTATGAAAGGTCTGAAACCTGCTGTTTTGCTCCTAGACAGCAGCTATGAGCCACGAGAAGCCTGCAGTCTTTATAACTGGTCCTATCAAACCTATCTCTTATGGAATAAATATCCTTTTATTTTTTTAAATTGGCATATTAAATCTTTTGCAGGACTGAATCCTTGATGTTGTTGAGGAACAAGGGGGGCTGCTTGCTGTGTGTTTATGTATTCAGCAGTGAGTGTGGTATTTAGTAGTCAGTGTATGTGTTCAGCAGTCTGTGTGTGTGTATTCAGCAGTCTGTGTGTGTGTATTCAGCAGTGTGTGCGTGTATTCAGCAGTATGTGTGTGTGTGTATTCAGCAGTTAGTGTATGTGTTCTGCAGTCCATGTGTTTATGAATTCAGCAGTCTGTGTGTAAGTGTATTCAGCAGTCTGTGTGTGTGTATTCAGCAGTGAATGTGTGTATTCAGCAGTCTGAGTGTATGTATTCAGCAGTCTGAGTGTATGTATTCAGCAGTCTGTTTGTGCGTATTCAGCAGTCTGTGTGAGTATTCAGCAGTGAGTGTATGCATTCAGCAGTCTGAGTGTATGCATTCAGCATTCTGTATGTGTATGAATTCAGCAGTCTGTGTGTGTATGTACTGAGAGCAGTCTGTGTATGTATTGAGAGCAGTCTGTGTATGTATTCAACTGTCTTTGTGTGTGTGAATTCAGCAGTAGTGATGTCCCGAACGGTTCGCCGAACGGTTCGCCACGAACGGTTCGCCACGGACTCATCATTGAGTAAACTTTGACCCTGTACCTCACAGTCAGCAGACACATTCCAGCCAATCAGCAGCAGACCCTCCCTCCCAGACCCTCCCACCTCCCGGACAGCATCCATTTTACATTCATTGTGAAGCTGCATTCTTAGTAAGCTGTCCAGGAGGTGGGAGGGTCTGGGAGGGAGGGTCTGCTGCTGATTGGCTGGAATGTGTCTGCTGACTGTGAGGTACAGGGTCAAAGTTTACTCAATGATGAGTCCGTGGCGAACCGTTCGTGGCGAACCATTCGCCGAACCGTTCAGCAGTCTATCTGTGTGTGTATTCAGCAGTGGTCATGGAGACACTAGGGGACACTAGGAAACATGGGGTCACTGAGACTCTAGGGGAGACGTGGGGTCACTGGGAAACACTGAGAGACATGGAGACATTGGGTGACATGGAGACACTGAGGGACAATGAGACACAGGGAGACACTACGAGACATGGAGACTAAGGGACACTGAGAGACAGAGAGACAGTGCAAAACAGGGAGGCTAAGGGACACTGAGAGACAGAGAGACACTGCGAGACAGGGAGACAGTGGGAGCAATCCCTCTATACAGCGGCATGTCGTTTTTTGTTGATTTTAGAGAATTCTCTTATGTCACTACTTGTGATTTACAACCTGGGATGTCACACATACATAATTAATTATGCAAATTATTATGGTATTTTTAAAAAAAAGTGGCAACCTTAACTTCAAAAGTGGTGAAGTTCAAACTTTCACAGGAAGCATAGATAAGTTACATGAGGCAAAACCCTGCTAGGTTATTTATGATTGCTAGCCAGGTAGGTGGATAGCCCATTATGCAGTAATTATGCAAGGCTAAAACAATTAGTAAGCCCTGTCCTCCTTTGCAGTGTAAGTAAGATTGTAGCCCAGGGAACAGCAAGGCTAAGTAGAGTGGGCCTTGACTTAGCTAGATTGGTGATTCTATGTTTAGGGGTATGGCTTAGATCAACAGTCTGAATGTATGAATTCAGCAGTCTATAAATAGCAGCCATTTTAGGGAGAAGCCATTTTAATTTAAACTCTCACTTACATGTTACTGTATTGCAGCAGGCTGGATTCCAGGGATGCAGACCATGAGGCCTTTCTAGCATGGCGGCTGTCAGAGAGCGTGTAGTGTCCTGGGTGGAGGAACGACTGGGGACTTCCAGAGGTGCAGCAGGAGCTTTGTGGATACAGGCGCGACGGATGGTGCGTCGCAATAGGCCGCCACAAAGATTGAGCCCTGGGGATGATCAAGGACCACGCCGGAGGATCCCTTCCTTGCAGCACCCAGTTTCCAGGATGAAGAGTGGAGGTGGCCAGGCGCTGATTCGTTGCGGTCGTGGAAGGAGTTCCGGTGTGGCCACACGCCATGGCAGCGGCTGGCAGGACTTCTCAGAACACGGTTGCAGTAGGTCCCCAAACCTCTGGGAGCAGGACAACATGGCTACGGTGGGCCCCCAGTTTCCTCTGGGCGCTGCCGGGAGGGAGCAGCAGGACACAGGCCTGGCTATGCAGGGTGAGTCAGTTCCAGGGGCCTGCAGGGACCTTGAGGACACTGTTGGTGAGTTGGAGGCTGGGGGGACCATTTCACAGTCAGGATCTTCCTAGGGTGCTGCAGCCAGCAAGGGTTTGGACAACAGGATTATGTTGGCACCCTTAGACTTCCATAGGGTTTGGAGTGAGCGGAGTCCAGCACCCAGGTGCCTACGGCTTGTTCTCCATGACCACTGCTGACCCCACGTCTCCCCTAGAGTCTCAGTGTCCCCATGTTTCTTAGTGTCCCCTAGTGTCTCCATGACCACTGCTGAATACATACTCTCCCAGCCATCCCCCCCAGTTGCGCAGCGGATTCAGGCGGCAAGGTCTGGAGACCTGGCATCTTGAACATAATTGCTGATTCACTTTATCATTTTCAGTGGGCGAGATTCTGTGCGGAGGTTCCGGGGGCACAGGTGGAAGGTTTATCTTGCCCTGTCGAAATGTGGCAGCTCGGGACTTCATGCTTGGAGGACTGATCAGGGATTCGTTGGTGCCAAGCACTTGGGTGGCATACAGTACAGTTTGAGATTCATGGGATGCTGCGTGGGGGCGTACAGAGGGGATTCATTCTGTGGAGGTACGTTTAGATGTTTTGTTATGGTTTATGTGTCGGTTGTTTGTGTCTGGGGTTTCACCATCGGTTGTTTACCGTAATCTAGCAGCTTTGGCTTTCCTCTTCAAGGTAAATGGGTGGGAAGATTTGACCAAGCACTTTCTGGTTCGTAAGGCACTAAAAGGTTTTCGCAGAGGGAAGAAAGCACCAGATACCAGGAGACCGGTGTCGTTCGAGTTGCTCATCCAGCTGGTTGGGGCATTGCACTTTGTTTTTCTCATTAAGAAATTTTGTTATTTTCGGTGGCATTTTGGGCATTTTTTGGAGCGTTTTGTATCAGTGAACTGGTGAGTAGTACCTGGTGTCGAGTGGGGGCATCATAGTTTCGGACGTCTGGGGGGATAAGGTTAATATTCATCTACCTAGTTCAAAAACTGATGTTTTCAGTAAGGGTTGTTTGGTCAGACTGCATTGTTTACCCGGTTCAAGTGTGTGTCCTATGGGTTGCGCTTCACTGTTTTTAGTGGTTCGTTTGCACGCTGGTGGCTCCTTTCTCATCCATGAAGATGGGTCATCTCTGTCTAAATATCAGTTTTCGCAAGTTTTTCAATTAAGTCTGGGGTGTCTGGGAGTGGATGCGTCACAGTTCGGTACACATTAATTTAGTATTGGGGAAGCGAAGGGTTTATGAGATAAACTTGTTAAAAAAAATTGGTTGGTGGGATTCGGAAAGGTTCCCGTTTTATGTTCGACATGATCGGTTTGTATAGGTTTGGATAGTAGGCCATTGTTTATGTCTGGATAGTAGGCCATTCCTTCGTCTACTGGGCAGAACGGAGAGCTGCAGTACGACCTCAAGGCGTGCAGCTCGGCTTTCTGCAGGATTTAGTTATATTGTATTGGTTTGGTTTTCGTGGGTTTTGTTAGGGAGATATCTGCTCTGAAATGTTTAGGAAGGGCAAGGGTTAGTTCAGGATTTTCTTCTGATTCATGCTGGGGGAATGATTTGGGGCTTGTGCCCCAAATAGAATTGGTGCGATGCATAAAGAGGGACGTGGATAGGATGAGGGGTTTGGTCTCAGGTGTGATTATTATTTGGTCTGAAATGGTGCCGTGTCTGCATTGGCGTTTTGCTAGATTCCCTGCTGCGATTGCAAAAATGTCGTAGCAAGATCAATAAGTTGTTGGCCATCTATATTTAGCAATTAGTGTGGCAGGGGGTGGTAGTTAGGCATAGAGAGTTGGAAGCTATGCTTCCTGGCTATTTCCGGCGTGATGGAGTACATCTTTCGGATTTGGGCATAGATTTTCTAACTTTGGGTTTTTAGGAAGGTTTGCGGCAGGCTCTGTTGAGGAGGTTGAGGTGGTCGAGCTCTGAGCTGTGGTGGGGGATGGAGAGGACATTGGGGGGTAGGTTGGCTTAGTAAGTGGGGGAGTTCAAGTTCAGGATCACTAGTTATGTTTGGATTGGTTTGGTAGGTTCGAGCTTATCGGTAGCTCAGAAACTGGGTGTGTAGGGGTATCTTGGTATACCCCTACAAGTGGAAAAAGATGCCCTTGGTGGCTGTGGTAACTGTTTGTGTTTTTTTAATGTGAGATGTTGTATTAATATATTTTTGTTATTTATGTTGGGGTCATTGTCTGTAAAATGTTTTACATTGAAATTTGCTGGGCTTCGATGTCTCAAAGTGTGTTTGACTATGACCCCTTATTTAAAATTATTTAATTTTTTTTTTTATAAAAGCTGTGATAATTTTTCCAGAATATTAGTGGTGTACGTGTTTAATTGGAGGGTGATTTTTTATGGTGGTTAATTTAGAATATGCCTAGGGGGCGACGATGCGCATGTCATATGTATGAAAACTGTATTATAAAAAAAAAAGTGGTCATAGGGTATAGTTAGGTTAAAACATGCATGAGGGAAGGTTGGGGGAGGGAAAGGATTAAAGGGTTGGGTAAGGTGCAAGTGTTGGTACAGGTCAGGAGGTCCAAAGCCTCATTCTTAAGACTGAAAAAAGCAAGTAAATATGTTTTTTTCCTTCTTTGCCTGCATCTTCTTTTCTTATTCCTTCAACACCCACTCCAGGAGGAAGTGATCTAACCAATCAGTGTCATATCCCTAGGAATGCTGGAAAAGTGCATGGGGCATGCCTGATTGATTTACACATGTGCAGTTGAAAGATCTTTTTCTTTTCACCTTGCAACATCCTGACAGGGGGAAAAGATAGGGAGTTTGATCAGTGTGATCATGCAGGACAGGCTAAGGCATTGCACTTCTCTCTCCAACTGCTGCACAATGATGCCCTGTTTCTGTCTGTAGTGTAATGGTCTGAAAACTGATATGGGTGGGTTAAGAGAGGAGTGGGGCTGAAGAAAGAGGTGTGCCCAGTAATGCAATCTGACCAAGTTTATAAACATGTATTACATACTTTTAAAAGTGTTTCTTGCTTTATATTGGTTTGTATATTTGTTTAATTCTATTTGCTTGCTGGTTTAAAAAAATAAATGTCAAGTGATGCAAGTGTGGTCGGTTGTAATCCAGAGGAAAAACTGGATAGTAAATCCGGGTGGCAGTGACCTTGAGAAGCTACAAACAATATATAGCACTTTTTGTCTGAAAAAATAATGTTGTTTCAAGATCAGCAGTTATTAGATTTGTGTGTTTGCTTGAACTAATACAGCTTTGAGCAATGCAATATTACAGAATAAAGCTCACATTTGCTGCTTGAATTCTTCTCTCAAGTCTTTTAAATCATGAGCAAGGCAGAAATGAAAATTGTGGAAGGTTCTACAAGCTGGAAATAATTTATATTCAGACAGGAATGAAAAGAAATACACACATTTTATGTCACGTTGCATTTGCTCTAACCACACATACTTTATTATGGTGGCAATACTACACTCACCCTCGTTGTGCATCGTTTTAAAGGACAATTCCCTAAATCAAGTTTATCTGAAACGTAGCAACGCAGATGACCATTTTATATTTTATTAACACAAAAAACTGCATATTCCCATGTGATTTTTTTTTTTTTATTAATGATCACAAAGAGGGTGATCTTATTAAAAACATGAAATGCAGGTACAATTTTCTAAACCACATAAAACAACAAAATAAATAAAAACCAGAAACAAATAATTTAACCACAAATGGTACACTCAGATTACTCTGGTTTCCATTTTCCCAACATCCAGGAGATTTTACTATTACCCAATTTAATGGTACTAATTTTATCTACCTTCTAAAGATGATGGGCTGAGTCTACCATGCTGGGAATTGAACCTGTGACCTTCCTAAGAGTTGAATAGATTCTACCAATGATGCATTAGCTCACTGAGCTGTCTCTCCAAATACCAAAACTGAGATATCAATCAGTACAGCATGTAGGACAGCTTCAGCAAGACAAAAATTAGAGTGATGGGGAATTGACAGAATATTGTCATGAGTATTAAAGGGGGTTGCGAGATTTGGAAGTAGTGAATTTTACACTTACACAAAGTTCTTGTTTCCAGCTAGATGGTTTTGGGGTCATTCATTTAGTTCTAAGGGCCGTAGATCATTTAGCAGGACTCTTGTTATGCACTTGGTAGTCGTTTTAAAGTATCTTCTAATTTTCTTTCGTAAAATGTTTTTGAGTATAAGACAGTATAAAAAATTGTGGGCTAGCTTTTCATTTTAAATGATTGTGTGGAGCTAATATTTACTGAGCACGAAGAATAACTTTTGTCGTTGCTTGCTGCATAGTAGTCCATGTTTAGCATATGGTTTTACTAGCCAAGACCACCAGAAATGTAATGAGTTTGCATGAAGGTCTGAACCTTGGAGGAAAGTCATTGGTTTGGTAAGAGATTCATTTTAAGGGTGAAGCTATGTCTAGTGATGGGGTGTAGCAGGAAATTAGTGAAAAAAAAGTTAGGCAAATGTTAGAATTTGGAGGGATTTGTAAGACATTTGAAAATAGAATGCTGGGGAATCAACTGTGTGAATGTGGTAGCTGACAAGCTCTTATTATTCCGTTCATGTGCACTGAGATATTGCAGTTTCTGTTGAACGGGTTGGCTGGAATAGAGTGAAAATTTATGGTAATAGATAGTTAATTAAGCATAACATGCTCCAAAAGCATGGAGAGACAGGTGAGATGCTATATAGATCATAAACTGATCAAAAGTGCAAGATAAAGTAGCATGAGGCAATTTCACACTGGTTCTCAACTGATAAAGAAAGTTGATTGGCTCGCGCCATGACAGTTCAATGCCATGAGCTTCGAACGTGGAACGGAAGTGACGGATAGGTGATCTATTGATCCATTCCTTCCAAACACATACAGACTAAGTGTCCCTTTAAGTGAAGTAGACTGAGGAGAGCTAGAGGCTGTTAGAGGTGTCACAGTACATATGGTGTCATAGCTTCAGTGGTTTTCTATAGAGTGGTATCAATGTTTAAGAAAGCTAATTTTGCTGTCACAGCTGAGTTACACCAGCTAGTAAATATCAAATTGATGTCAATTTGCGGCAACAAGAAGAAGAAAATAGAGTTAGGAATCCAGTAGATCGACCACTTACTCATTAAAATTCTACATATTATTTTTAGATGCTATTTACCAGCTATAAGTTTGATGCAATACCTTCATGCTATAATAAAGAGAGCCCTACGCATTTTTTTTCTTTAACAATAGATTCGCAGCACCGATGGTCGCCACTGCATTGAGCACTAATATTTTACTGCCTATAAAAGGAGAGAGGAAGAGATCAGGCTATAAATGCTTTCCTCCTTGTTACTCTACCGAACCGAGGAGCATGTCAAGCTTCGTCACGCATCATGGTTACAAATTGCCAACTGAAAATTGGATGCCTTAATGCCTCTTTTTCCCAACGCTGCCATTTCTATAGTATCACAAATGGGTAAATGGTATGTTCTATGCGAATACAAATATATGGCCTATTTTTTTTCCCAAATATGCTGCAGTGTTATGCAGTCCCTCATGGTAGCAATAGGGTTCCTATAGAGGTTATAGAATAAAATATGCCAACAGCAATCTTAGACTGTGTCTTAATTATTAATGAATAATGTACAGCTGGTTCAGAGATGTATTTTACGGCTCCGTGATTAGGCAAACTCATTTTCAATTTGCTGGAAACAGGTTTTGCAACATGAAGTGTTAACTACTCTGACTTAAAGGAATAGTATATGCCTATGGGAACACTTGTTTTGAAGTGTTTTGCTATGCAAAGGAAATTGTGTTCAATCAATCTTTTTGTAGGGCTTTGCTGGGAGATACAATTAGTATTACCTAACACATTCTTATAAAAAAGAAATGATATGCATTAAAACATCTCAAAATGTCTATCTATGAAGTAGTTCTTAGAGATGAAAGCATGAAAAGGTCAGCATCCTTGAAAGTTGCTAAGAAAGGGGGGATGGTTGCAAAGAAACATTTAGAAATTGTAAAGTACTTAAAAGCAGTTTTGCGTTTTTTGTGACTTTTTTTTTTTTATTACTGAGTTCCCTCTGGTTAGATGTGGTGTCTAAAGATGATAACAAAATATTTAGTGTTATTTTTTTTTTCCAATAAATTAAAATAGTGATCTTGCAGTAAGCACTCAAAAGCCATGTGTTAGAATTTGAAAATTACTCAAAACTTGGTAAGTGTCACATATTCATCCGTACATTAAAATGTGGTTAATGGCATTTACTGTCCTGACAGGAAAAGTTGTGCCGAGCAACATTACCGCCCTGACAGGAAAAGTTGTGCCAAGCAGCAATCATACACATGGAAACCTGGTAATTACTTTTGGGGTCAAAGGCTGATTATGGCCAATGAGCTTCTTAAACAAATGTTCACATCTTCTGACATATTAAGACATCCTGACACTAGTAAATCTTTCCTACTTGAGGTTGACGCCTCCGAGAAATGGGTTGGGGCTGAGAGAGAGAGTCAGGGTGCCCCTTTGCATCCTTGTGGTTACTTCTCCAGAAAGTTGTCTCCTGCCAAGCGCAACTATGACATTGGTAATAGAGAACTGTTAGCCATCATACTAGCGCTTAAGGAATGGCAACATCTTTTGGAGGGTTCAAAGGATCCAATTCTGATTATTACTGATCACAAGAACCTGGCATATATTGGGGATGCCAAACGACTCGTCTTCTAGACAAGCTAGATGGTCATTATTTTTGTCTCGCTTGAACTTTTCTCGCCTTAAAACATGTTTGTGTTCCTGACCCTATAGTGCTCCTTTGATTTTGACAAATTAGGAGACTAGGCTGCTACGTAGATAAATGCAAATGTATGCATTTTTGGGGATATTGAAAACAAAACTAAGAAGGACTTTGGAATAGTTTTAGATAATAGACTAAGCAACAATGTGCAATATCAGGCAGCAGTTGCTAGAGGTAAAATTAATAAGGAGAATGGAACATTTTAGCTGTGAAGAAACATTAGAAAACTTTAACTTGTTAACCTTATTAAAAATGTCCTTTCTATGTTAACAGACGCACACAGAAAATGATATTTCTCACAAGTACTCACGTACATTTATCCGCCCAACTGTGCTAGTCACAAGTAGAACCCTATATTCACATAAACATTTATTACTTAGATGTGAAACTCTGCATTCACATACACTGACACTACAAACATACTTGCACTAGACAATAGCCCTCCAAACACACATTTAAACTACATATACCCAGGGTAGTATTTACCACAAGGCAATTGCCTAGGGCAGCACTTTCAGGAGGGAGGCAAAAAACGCCATCCCAAGCACCCAGGCAAATGCCTTGTTTGATAGGGTGCCCAAAAGCTGGCTGGCTGGTCATCTTAGGACCCCCCGTGGAGTTAAACTGCTAATATTCTGCTGGGAGGCGAGGGACCATTGTCCTTAGGTCTTCTTGCTCCCTCGCATGCCCTTCTGTGATCCTGGGAGCTAGAAAATGATGTCACTCTGGCCCTGGCATCACCAAGCGGTGCGCGAGGGAGCTGAGCAAAAAGAGCGCAGTTCCCTTGCCGCATCCATTGAGCACCTACACAGCCAGCCCAGCCAGCCCAGCCAGCAGCCCCAGCAGAGCCAGTTCAGCCAGGTAAGCCAGCACAGCCAGCAAGGAGCCTGCCCAGCCAGCCCAGCAGCAGTCAGGGACAGGACCCACTCCAGCTCTCCCATAGGCTTGGTGGATTTAAAATATATATGAATAATTGGTGAGTGTATGAGAAAATGTGTGTGTCTGTGAGTGTGCTTGTGTCTGTCAGTGTGTGTTTGTCAGTGAGTGTGTGTGTGTGTGTGTGTGAATGTGTGTAGCTGTCAGTGTGTGTCTGTGAGTGAGTAAATGAGTGAGAGAGTGAGTGAATGTGTGTGTGTGTGTGTGTGTGTGTTTGTCTGTCAGAGTGTCATATCAGTGAGGATGTGTGTGTCAGTGTGTGTCTGTCAATGTGTATGTATCTGCGAGTATGTGTCTGTCAGTGAGTGAGTGTATCAGCGTATGTCTGTCAGTCAGTGAAAGTGTGCGTTTGTTGAACAGTGTGTGCCAGTGAGTGTATATGTGTGCCAATGACTGTTTATCTGTCAGTGAGTTGTGTCAATGCATGTATCAATAAGGTCTGTCAGTCACAAAAGTGGCCTTGACATGAATTGGTGGGGCAAATTGAGATTACGGGGGTGCCTGAGTTTAATTGTGCCTAGGGCAGCACAAATTTGCATTCATTTCAAAAAATGTTTTACTATTCACTATTTAGTGAATGCGTTCCAAAGTGACACTAAGACTTTGTATATAGTATAAAGAATATTTTTGTATGTACAAGCTCAGTAAAGAGAGTGGGGGGATGTCAGATTTTCTTTGGCCTCGATTTAATATTTTTGGATACACTTTTAAAATGTTTTTTTTTTTTAATATTAAAACAACAAGTAAGATATATATTAATACATCAAGAGATTAAAAAATATTAAAACATCTTTAAAAATATTAAATAATTTTTGGGGGGTTTTCTCTAGCAGTGTATGTTAATATTATATACATCAGTGGAGACCATTTATTTAAAATTCGGCCCAAAGCTCGATTTTTAGCTGCAATAAATCTGAATATGAATAACCACAACTGAATTCGCTATGTCCAGTAGCATATCACATCTAGATCCTCATTCAGTTTTGTATACATCTGTTGTTATCCTGATTATCTTAGAATTCCCGCTGTCTTCCTTATTTCTTCCTCTGCGTGGTACCAGCAGGGATCCTAATGTATTTTTTTTTCTTTTTTTGCGAAAAAACAAAAGCATTCGATTTTTTTCACTGCACATTTGCCTGTCTCCATTGACATTATTTCCAGATTGGTTATTTTCCCTCCAGCAGGGAGCACTGTGATATAATGCATCTTGTTCTAAAACCGTCACGCTTCACATGCACTTTCCAACTTCATCTAAATCTCTTCGGTGCTTCAAGGCAGCATACAAATCACTGCCCTCCCTTCCTTAAAGAGTTAAGTGTTTTTATATTGGGAATGTGATAAATTACCCATGCTTCACAAAGAGCGCAGAGCATTTAAAAGTGATGTTGTTATGGGCTTTTATAATCCAATCAAAATGGCCCTTGTCACCCCTCTATTGTTCCTAAAAGACATGAGTCAAATAATCAATCACTGTTTCTCCAAAGCTTACCAGAGCCAGTTGTCCTTATCTATAATAAGCAATTCTGGGTGCTAAATAAAGAGCTATCAGGAGGGGAAATCAATAAGTTTCCATAGTAACCCCTGCACAACATTGTTATTATTCATTATCTTTGTTTATAAAGAGGCCACATATTCCACAGAGATGTACAATTTACTGCGGAATGTACATACAGCCGAGTGATGTCAAGTGGAACCCGCACCTGGCAATATTTTTGTTTATGTGGATTCTCTAGATGTGAGATAAAAGACACATCTTCCATAAAGTGGAAATTGTGAAGAGCTGACAAGAGAATTGCAAATTTTAGAGACAATCTGGAAAAACTGTTCAATGGGCTATTTTTCAAGATTTGCAATTAATTTTTAGGTTCTCTAAAATTCAAAAAAGGGAATGCATAGAAAAGTTCCTAATTAAAATTTCCACCTGGCCTGTGTGCATCGACAGAGACATGAGTAAGCGTACATGTCAGTGGAGGCTGGTGCATTGGAGTGGTGACTCCCCCATTTTCATTGCAGAAAAAAAATCTATTGTCATTTTAAGGACCACTGATCAGTGTGTGTTAGAAAAAAAGATGCCACAGGCATTAAGCACTGTGGCATATATGTATGGTGTCATTAGAGGGTAAATTTGTCCTGTTGGTACAGTTAGGGAAAGTTTAGAGAGACTTCATGACCCCTGGTTAGGTTGTTGGGCAGAGTGAGACAAATAGCTGGGCAGATTTGGTGACACAGCTGTTGCCGGGGACAAGTGCTGGCTGAAGATTGCTGGCAGAGGACAGGAAAGCGTGAAAAGCCAGGTAAGAATAAAAGGTGGCAGCACGAGCGCAATCCCTTTTAGCTGTTTGCAGGACAAGAGAAGCACGGACGGACCCCCAGCACCTCACCTGTTCCAGCCGCAACATGTCCTCTAAAGACCCGTCTGGAAGAAATCCTGCAATCGCCTGGAGGGGAATCCTGGTTGAAAGACTGCTTCATTTCGGCACCCGGGGCTTCCAACGCTGAAGACATCCTGATGAGGATTGAAGAATGTTCGGATGATGGGAGTGAGTGTCATCTGGGCAACATGCCAGTCCTAGAAGAAATGGAGGTCCAAGGCAGAGCTGGTACTTCAGGCAGTGAGCATGAACGCAACTCTGCTGAATTGGTTAAGATTAGTGAGGCGTTAGCATCGGTGACTGGAATGAAAAAGGTTTTTACAGAAAAAAGTCTAGCTCAGGCTTGGGGTAGTGGGAGTAGTAGTTCTAAAAAAGAAGGATTTATTAATGAATATTTATTATATGAATATTATTAATATGAATAAGAAAGAAGCTCTTCCATGTGAAAGTTCAACGACTTATGTAAAATAAAAAATTTGGAAAGGTGAACATGTTGATTTGCTGTCGC